TCTTTCCTGTAGTATCGACCGCCTTCTTTCCTGTAGTATCGACCGCCTTCTTTCCTGCACTATCGACCGCCTTCTGTCGTGTACTATCAAGAGCCTTCTGTTCTGAACTAGTGGCAGCCTTCTCCCCTATTTGATACGCTGGTTGTATAGGTGTTCCCGGTAGACTCGCTAGCGCCGCGCTACCACCATTTGCACTGGCTGGGTGCTTTTGTGCTACAATGGCCGGGTTCTTGTCTCCTGGCGTGTGCACTTGTCCTGTATCTGCACCTGAAAAACGTGGGATTTTGCTCTTCTGTGAGAAGATCAACCTCTTCTTCCTAAGCTCTTCTTTTACATGTTCTTTCATATACGCAGTCGCCGCTTTAGCGGCGTTGTGGATACGAATCTGATCTTCTTGCATACGCGCATCTTCATTTTCACGCCTCAGATTGTCGATTGCATGTTTGTATTGATTGGTTTGCATGCGCTGTATTTCGACTTGGTCGTGCTTGTCTTTGTATCGGCGTTCAAGATCCTTCACTACATTCTTATGTATATCGGCATTACGACGCATATCCCCATGTTGTAGACTGAGAGCCTCATCGGAAATCCGACGCATATCTTGTTTTTCATCTTCGAGTCTTTGATAATTCGCTTGGTGTCGACGTTCAACTTCTTCGGCACGCATACGCATCTCCCTGTAGTGTTCGTGATGCCTTCTGGAATCTTGCTCCCTTGCCTGTCGATATATTTCTTCCATAGTACGACGCCCCGTTGAAGGTGTATGTTGAAGACCTACTTGTTGGTGGTGTAGATGCCTGTCGTGTGGTTGCACACGTCGCTGCCAGTCTTCTTCACGGTTACGCGAAAAAGAACCTCTGTTTTCTACTTGATCATGTCGGCGTTTGTATGGTTCTACACCGTCCAGACGCGAGGTGTCATCTTGTGACATATGCATAGTCATACCAATCTGCGCACGGGTAGGTGCATCATCGCGTTTACGCGAACGAGATTCGTCATATCTCCAACTCTGGGTCTCGGTACCACGTCCATATTGACGTGAGTTATCACGTTGGTGCATATCTACACCACGTCTGAGATCTTGCTCGATATCTTGCCTATTGATTAAGGCGATACTTTGCCTCCTGTTTTCAAGGTGTTGGTTGATATCTTGCTCTCTAGATTGGTTCATTGGATATACTATACAGTTGTTCTATGAGGTATGCTGATATAGTAGGACTCTCAAATATCGGATGTAAAATATAGGTTCATACCAAAGAAGTTTCCGAGGAAATGCGGAAAAGTAAAACAATACAACACACTGGCATTTTGTCTTTGTATTTTCCTCGAATACCGCGTTAACTTACACAGACCACATACCCAACACCGCAAGGCATGTTATTCATCTATACACGTATGTGTACTCGATCGCATCACTGCAACACTTGACGTCTTAGATTTCGGAGATAAGGGTTCATCTACAGGATTACCATCAACCTCTTTATTAGAGGATTGTTCTTCATCTAACGTGCTTTTATCGTCAGCAATAGACTTCGTATCTGAAAGATCGTCTTCTGTGATTGCGTTGGTGTCCAGAGGACCATTTTCAGATCGCAGACGGAGGTTCCGCAGTCTCTCGTAGAGACGCAGTTTGTGTGCAAGGAACTCGATCAATACGAGGATCCCCAAAATATACAAATAAAGACATATTGTATATACAAATATCATTGAGATTGACGTGGTAACCACCACAAACATATCAATGTACACCAACACTGTGTACTTTAATAAGAAACAGATAGCCAATTATACAAACGAATCGACGAAATCTAAACTCTTTCCCGGTGTACGCTGTACATTAGCTCCTTGATGGAATCGATATACTCTATCCATATACAGTTTTTTGTTTGTGTGTATTATCCAGATGAACTACATTCTGTTGGCCATGTGGTGTAGTGGTAAACACAGGAGCTTTTGATGCTCTTGCCCCGAGTTCAATTCTCGGCGTGGCTCTTTTGTTGGTGTACATAACACCTTTTTCTGGTTGACTATTAATTTTCAATGGTCTATTTCTTTTTACCATATGTCAAGTATTCTGGGTTGAAAACTGCTTAAAGTCCCATATGCGTGCTCCTAATCAACTTCATGATGTCAAGTTGATTCTATTATTTAGTATGTTTTTCATTTATTTATCACTGACACGTGTTATGTGTTGACTGAAACGAACGGAATAACGGCTTTATCGGTTGTCTAATAAAAAATTCCCCGAATTAGAAAAGTGTGGATTTAATGAATCTACACCAATTCCTCTGATTTCCACCACCGAATCCAAAAAGTGACACACCCTAAAATATGTCAGTGCCTCGGTTGGTGACGTGGTTAGATACCGCTGGTACCAAACGTGTAGAATTCCAATATGTCAAGACGTTTGTAGACGCATCGCTCCAAGAAGATGTAAGCATCGGTCCTGGTATGGGTTACACGATTCTCGAGGCAGAGGCTCTGCTGTCTACTACCACATACCCTCTGGTGAACGGGTGGACGTTACTGCATGCAGCGGCGTTCGAAGATGTCGCAGACACCATCACATCGTTAGTTTTCACGCACGGTGTTGCGGTCGACGCGGTAAACGACTTTGGTGACACTGCACTCATGATCGCCGCACAATATGCCAGCCTACGAGCTGTCACTGCACTACTGAGGGCCGGCGCATCAGTTAACTTCCGGTCAACCGACGACGGGTGTACGCCTCTACACCGCGCAGCACACAATCTCAACGACACTGGCAACGCGTGTAAAACGATACAACTCCTCGTCGATGCGGGTGCCGACATCAACGCGCTAGACAACAACAACTTCACTCCTCTGCATGACAGCTGTCGTGCGGGGAATAGGGATGCGGAGAGTTTTCTGCTCCTTCAATACGGTGCCAAAGTTGACCTCGAGACGATCGACAAAGACACACCGCTACACTTCGCGTGTACAGACGGAGGCAACAGCACGGTTGCAGCCATGCTGGTCAAACTCGGCGCAAATCCATACGCGCTGAACAACTTGAAAGAAAGCCCCTTCCATCTTGCCTACGATACCTGCAACGAACCGGATGATATGATCTTCACATTGCACGAGTTCTACCTCGACCTCGACATGTCATTCCCCGACACAAACGGAGACACGTTGCTACACAAGACCGTCGACAATGTGACGATGTTCCATTGGCTTCTCGAGGCCAAGGCTTCTGTCAACGCCTGCAACAAACTTGGCAACAGTCCTCTCCATTCTCTCGCGGTCCACGACCTTGCGTTCATTCTCCAAGAAGAAGAAGAAGCGGATACGATAACGTCTATCCGGATTCTTTTGGACGTGGATGTCTCACTCGACGCGCTCAACAACGCTGGTGAGACACCGAGTGATGCCGCGGCACGAGTCGGCAACAACGATGTCGCGACCATTCTCGACACAGAGGTCAGAAACACTTGTAATTTACATATTTAATTTCAATTGAAATTGTTGGAATTGTTCAAAATTGACTGGCTAATTGAGTGGTGGGGCTATTCCCATGTATAATTTGACACACGTGGCTTAATCTGTGTGTGTGTGTGTTTGCAGGAGAACATGCGAAAGATGAGAATTTTGGCCGTCACAATGGGACACCACAAGCGACTGGGGGAGAAATCTTGGTTTTCACACATGGATCGCGAGCTGCTTCGGATGATCGTGTAGGCCGTGGAAGTCCTAGGATCTACTTAAGAACGATTTGCGAAGCAAATCGTGGGCGTATGCGCCCCTTGGTCACTAAAACGTCGTTGAGGCCCATGGTCCAATCAGTAGTCACTATGCCTTCTGGGTATTGGATAGTCACCGGGTAAGACCCTAAACCTAGAGGTTTAGGACATGAGCACATCGCAAAATACCTTGGTCGTTCAACGTGGAGTGTGAGAATAAAGCATATCAAACCGCAAACACCTAGTGCCCGACCATAATGTCATCGTGTGGGTGGTCGAGAAACCCTGCAAGGGGTTCATCGTTCTGGGAATGGAGTACAGGATTCACTCTTGGAGGCCTGGCTCGGAGCGTGTGTCTGCTCTATCCCACCCCTTACAGCTCTCTTCTTCATATGAAACACAATGCTTGAATGAATACTGATACAATGAATATGCATTGTATATAAGAGTATGAATAGTACCAAGTGGAAAATGTGGGACAACACGCGCGTTTTGGTATTACTGTTTCTAATGGTTGTGGTGAGAGACTCACAAACCTGTGATGTTGGTTACGAGAATCGGGTGGGTTGGAATGGTTGCGCAGCGTGTGCCTATGCTAAGTTTAAGGACACGGTAGGAGACGAAGCTTGTGAATATTGTCCTCCTGGACAGTGGTCTCATACCGGGTCCTCTTCTTGCACAGATTGTTATGCTGGACAGTTTATGACGGCAGGGCCAGATTTCTCAGATTGTCGATCTTGTCCTGCTGGGGAGTATAGTGATGAAGGGGCCGGCAGTTGTACAATTTGTGATGCTGGGAAGTATTCCCGCTACTTGGCGAGTTCTCGCTGTAGGGATTGTGGTGTTGGGACATATGCCCCTCTTGGAGGAACAATCTGTACTACCTGTGGAGTTGGAAAGTTCGCTGGTGCGGTGGCCGGTAGCTGCACAAACTGTTCTACTGGACAGGTCAGTGGTTTAGCGGCTGGCTTATATGTATCGTGCGCTCTTGGATGGTCTCCGAATAGCCAGAAAAACCTCTGTCAAAAATGTTTGCCTGGAACATTTTCCAATTTGGCGGATGTTTGTACAAATTGTCTTGCTGGGATGTACAACCCTGCGAGTGAGGCCAGCAGCTGTACATTAGAATGTCAAATTGGAACGTATTCCCTCGCGGGGTCTAGTGGGTGTACAACGTGTCCTGCTGGGGCATACAATACCGCAGTGAAGTCCAGCAGTTGTACATCATGTGCTATTGGCAAGTTCAAGACGTTACCGGGGGCTGGCAGCTGTTCAACATGTGCTACAGGGAAAACCAGTGTAGCAGGGATGTGCATCTGCTGTGGTGTAGGTGAAACGATTTCAGCGTTCGAGTGCACATGCGTAGTATGTGATAAGGGTACATTCAAGGCAACTGGTGCAACCACATGCACAGCGTGTTTAAGTGGATATTACAGGGCCATATCACAACAGGATTACACCACATGTACAATATGCCCTGTTGGTACGATAAGTGTAGCTGACCGCGGCAGTTGTTCTAGTTGTACTACGGGTACAGCTGCTGCTGAAGGGAGCGCCACATGTACAACATGTTCTGCAGGTTATTATGCTGGGTCGACCCGCGCGAGTTGCACTCAATGTGCTGCCGGTAAAGTTAGTGCAGTAGCGAAGGACGCCTGTACAGACTGTCCCGTCGGACAGAACAAGACTGCAGTGGGGGCTGGTTCGTGTGCGGCATGTCCTATTGGGACGTTTAGCCTTACGACTGGGGCTAGCACATGCACATCATGCCCTTCCGGGAAGTATAAGACCACAACAGGAACTGGTTCATGCAACCAGTGTCTTGCCGGTACGAACAAGTCCACAGTAGGGGTTGGTACATGCTCACAATGTCCTGCAAACTCATATAGTCTAATAGAGGCATCGGTATGTGAACCATGTGCTTCCGGGTCGAAATCCACAGCAGGGAGTAACGAGATGATCGATTGCATGTGTCCGGTGGGGTTTACAGGAGCAAACGGAGCTCCGTGCAGTATATGTGCGGCAGGAACGTTCAAGGGCGCAGCGGGGCCAGGTATGTGCATGCTTTGTCCTCTCAACGCAGCGTCTTCACCTGGTAGTGCACAGTGCAAGTGTCCAGTAGGGTTCACAGGTGGCGACGGGTCTGAGTGTAGTGCGTGTGCTGTGGGAACGTTCAAGAGTGCCGTGGGATCAGCATCATGCACGACGTGTGCCGCCGACTCTGTACCATCTACCTCAAGGGCCGTGTGTCTATGTAATGTGGGGTTCACCGGCGCAGACGGGGGGGTGTGCAGTATGTGTCTAGCGGGGACGTTTAAGGGTGATGTGGGATCCGAGGCGTGTGCGACGTGTCCTGTCAACTCTCAATCACTTGCTGGCAAAAGCACGTGTCGGTGTAATATGGGATTCACTGGTGTGGACGGGGGTCCGTGTATAGCATGCGTGGCGGGTAAGTTCAAGAACACAATAGGATTGGCAGATTGCTCAACATGTCCTCTTCACACCAGCTCTGCGAAGGGGAGCGATGCGATAACGGACTGTATTTGTCTTCCGGGGCATACATCTACAGAGGCAGGGGTGGCGTGTAGTTCATGTTGGGCAGGGACGTACCAGAGCACACCGGGTGGAACCGAGTGTGTGCAGTGTCCAGACGGTATGACGTCTGAAGCGGGAGCGAGTGCGTTGGTATACTGCCATGACCCGATAGAGGATCCTGGTAGGTTACCATGTGAGCGAAGTCTGTAAATTTAACACTCAGAGTGGAAACATGGGACTGTATTAGATTTATAGATTGTTGTATGTAATAAATTTACAGAGACTCGTGCGTGGGATACAGTTTGGTTGTTGTTATGATCCCATAAGCATCCAGTCGCTGCTATTCAGATCCACGATCATCTCACCGAGGCGTTTGAGTAACGACCCGTCCCCGATTGAATCCGATGATACCACAACTCTTCCGAGATGGTCCCTGTTTTCCTCGCAGTACTGCATGGCACACCTGTTTGTATCGGCCCATCGCAAATTCCGTTCGGGTGTATTGGCAATATACCCAAACGGAATTTTGTTCTGGGATTCGGCATATCGCTCCCACCGATCGACGTTGCGAGAGTCGATGATGATGGCTGCGAGATCAAGTCCACCATTAACGCGGGTGTTGATGTCCCCGGAACGCATCATAGAGAGAGCCATGACGATCTTCACCGCAGCTTCTGGGTCACATATATTCACAAACAACAGCAAGAGGTCTATGATGGAAGAAAACCTGCTGGCATAGATCCGATATCTCTC